AAAGGCCTGGCCATCTGCTTCCATAAAGATTAAAAACAAAAAAACCAAACCTGTTGCCATCCAGTCGATTCTGACTCATAGCAACCCTATAGGACAGAGTATAACTGCCCAATAGGGGTTCTAAGGCTGTAAATCTTTAGGAGGCAGACTGTTATATCCTTCTCCCACAGAGTGGCTGGTGGGTTCAAACCGCCGACCTTTTGGTTAGTGACCGTGTGCTTAACCACTGCGCCACCAGGGCCAAGAAAACACTATGGAGTAATTCCACTCTGTAACACATTGGGTCACCATGGGTCGGAATCCACTAGACAGCAATGAGTTTGGGGGTTTTGTCTGTTTGTTTTGGTTTTGGTGAAAGAGTATGGTCAAAAGCTCCTTGTCTGTTGTCTTGTTAGGAGCCACAAGAGCCAGAGCCTGTGGAAGCAGGGGTGAGATGGGGATATGTGTGTGGTGGGGACTGAGGCAACAGGGAAATAGGCTAGCTTTGGAGAGGATTTAGAAGCAAGGCTTGCTGCCACATGCCTGTAATATGACTCTGTCTTCTATTTTCCCTGTTAAAAACTGATAAAATTATGTTTAAAACTCTCACCAGCTCTGACCAACATGCAATAATGTTTAAATCTTACTAAGTATTGGAAATTACTATATAATTGACTGACTTCTATCATAAGGCAGAGTCTACATTAAATAGTTGATATCTATAATGCAGTCCCAATCCAAATTCCAACAACATTCTTTAATGAAATGAAAAAAACTAACCTCCAACTTTATATGGAATGGAAAGAGGCCCCAAATAGCCAAAGCACTATTGAAGAAGAAGAACTAAGTAGGAGGCCTCACACTCCCTGATCTCAAAACTTACTATATAGCCATGTTAGTCAAAACCGTCCGGTACTGGTACACTGACAGCCACATAGACCAGTGGGGAACATAATTGAGAGCCCAGAAGTAAATCCAGCTATGAACAGATAATCTTTGACACAGGGTCGAAGTCCATCCAATGGGGAAGAAATAGCCTCTTTAAAAAATGGTGCTGGCAAAACTGGATATTGATTTGCAGAAAAATTAAATGGACCCATACCTTACACCGTACATAAAAATTAACTCAAAATGGATCAAAGACCTAAATGTCAAACCTAAGACAATAAAGTTCCTGGAAGATAACACAGGAACAAAGCTAGGGGTCCTAATTTGTGGCATAAATCGACTGTCAAACATAACTAAAAACATACAAACAATAGAAGATAAACTAAATAACTGGGACCTCCTAAAAATTAAATACTTGTGCTCATCAAAGACTTCGGCAAAAGAGTAAAAAGAAAACCTACAGACTGAGAAAAAATTTTTGGCAACAACATATGTGACAAGGGCCTAATCTCTAAAATATATAGAAAACTTTAAACACTTCAACAACAAAAAAACAAACAATCCAATCAAAAAATAGGTAAAGGACATGAATAGACAGTTCACCAAAGAAGACATTTAGGTGGCTAACAAACACATGAAGAGATGCTCGCGATCATTAGCCATTAGAGAGATGCAAATCAAAATTACAATGAGATACCATCTCACTCCAACAAAAATGACACTGATCAAAAAAAAACAAAACAAAACATAAAACAACAAATGCTGGCGAGGTTGTGGGGAGACTGGAACTGTTATGCACTGCTGGTGGGAATGTAAAATGGTACAACCATTATGGAAAATGGTATGGTGTTTCCTCAAAAAGCTAGAAATAGAAATACCATATGATCCAGCAATCCCATTATTAGGCATTTATCCTAGAGAAATAAGAGCAGTGACACAAACAGACATATGCACATCCACATTCATTGCAGCATTATTCACAATAGCAAAAAGATGGAAACAACCTAAGTGTCCATCAACGGATGAATGGATAAACACAATGTGATACATACATACAATGGATACTATGCAAAAATAAAGACTAATGATGAGTCCACAAAACATCTTACAACATGGATGAATCTGGAGGACATTATGCTGAGTGAAATAAGTCAATCACAAAAGTCAAATACTGTATGATACCACTTTAATAATAAGTTAAGAAAAGGTTTACTCACATAAAGCAACATTCTTTGATGGTTAACAGGTATGGGAAGGGGAGGGAGGGAGAACCACTTAATAGATAGAAGACACATGCTAATTCTGGTGAAGGGAAAGATGGCACATAATATGGGGGAAGTCAGCATAACGTGACCAACGCAAACGAAGACACTGAGAGGTACGCACGAATAAAGGACAACTACAGTAACGAGACTATACCATATACAAGCCAGCAACAACAGTAACAACAACCTAAAAATCTGTGAGTGGTTACATGGGTAGACATATACGCTATATAGAGGTGGGAGGGCATGTAGGAGTGCATGCACGTGCCTGTATGGATATAGTTGTGGGTAACCGAATATACATATTTGTTTGTGCTGCATGTATGTTCACATATAGAAGAGACAACATATGGGGCATGGTTATGGAAACCTCTTAGACATATCCAAACACCTCATGGGACTGAATTACTGGGCTTGAAGGTTAAGGAACATAAGTTTCGGGGGACATCTAGCTCAACTGGCATAGCATAATTCATAAAGACAATGTTCTACCTCCCGGTTTGATGAGTGGCGCCTGGGTTCCTAAAAGCTTTCGAGTGGCCATCTAGGATACAACTATTGGTCTCTTCTTGTCTGGAGCAAAGGAGAGTGAAGGAAATTAAAGACTCAAGGAAGAAATTAGTCCAAAGGACTAATGTCCTATGGGAACCACAGCCTCCTCTAGCCTGAGACCGAAAGAACTAGATGGTGCCTAGCTACCAATATCAACCGCTCTGACCAGCAACACACAAAAGGTCCCGGTTAGAATGGGAGAAAAGTGTAGAACAAAACTCAAATTCATAAAAAAGACAGACTTACTGGAATGATAGAGACTGCTGGAATCCCCAAAACTATTGCCCTAAGACCCTCTTTCAGCCTGGAACTGAAGCCACTTCTGGAGGTCACCCTTCAGCCAAATAATAGATTGGCATATAAAATAAACAGTAACACCCGTGAGGAATGTGCTTTTCAGAACAATTAACTAAATGAGACCAAATGCATAACATTTACCCAAAAGCAAAGATAAAAAGGCAAAGAGGGATAGGGAAACTGGAGGGATGGAAACGGGGAAGGCAGGGTGGAAATGGGGGAAATGCTCACCCATTCTTGGGGGGAAGGGGAAATAGCAACCAATGTCAGGGAACAATTTGTATATGAATTGTTGAATGGGAAACCAATTTGCTGTGTAAACGCTCATCTAAAGCACAAAGTTAAAAGAAAAAAACAAAAAACTGTTGATATTAACAGCCTCATACCAAAAAAAAAAAAACCCAAACCCATTGCCGGCCAGTTGATTCCGACTCATAGCAACCCTATGGGACAGAGTAGAACTGCCCCATAGAGTTTCCAAGGAGAGCCTGGAGGATTCAAACTGCCAGCCTTTTGGCTAGCAGCCACAGCACTTAACTACTATACCACCAGAATGGGTTAACTCCTGTCAGTGGCATTTACTAGAGGTGTGAACTTGGTAAATTATTCCACCTCTCTGAAATGGCTTCGTCATCTGTGAAAAGGGGAAACGTTACAAGCTGTTGAGATTAAAGTTACTCATGGCACCTGGCACGTAAGAGATTCTTTTATATCGTGTGTTAATGGGATAAGATTTAAAAATTACGACGCTATATTTAAACACAGTGTTAACAAATGTGTTTGAATATGCATTGACACTGCATTACTTTAAAAAACCTAAACCAAATCCATTGCCTTCAAGTCAATTACGACTCATAGTGACCCTGTAAGGGCAGAGCAGAACTGCCTCATAGAGTTTCCAAGGCTGTAAATCCTTACCGAAGCAGAGGGTCACATCTTTGTCTCCATGGAGCGGTGGTGCATTCCAACCGCCGACCTTTTGGTTATCAGCCGAGAGCTTTTACCCCTACGCCACCAGGGATCCTTTAGAGACTTCAATATTTTCAGTTAATATCAATGCTTTTAGTAATGTTAATTAATTTGCTGCCATGTTTCCCTTCGCTCACTGCACCTCCAAACACATTGCGATGCTCTAATATGTTACTTATTGAGCACATTTTACTAACATCACAGCCATCTAGCCCTGCCTCCCGAACACTAACGGACAATTAGATTACCTCTATCAAGTGTTGTTACAAACAGTGCCTTTTCGAGACTTGCCCAGTGTCTAGTGCTGCTGCACTGTCAGGACTTAACAGCTCTAAAGCACCCGTTGCAACATGGTATTTCTTGCTTGGGAAAGGCGCGCAACAGTTCCATGTGATAGCTCAATTTGTCTTTTTGATCAATTTTGCTACGGGAGTTCAACTGCCCGCGAGAGGAAGCGTATTTCGCCTCACATTAAACAGAAGAGCCTCAATTAATTATTAGGGGGTGAAAGAGGGCAACTTCAGCAACTGAGCGGCTAGGGACTTGTAACAGACAGGGTCCTGCCTCCGGGAGGCCGGCTGGCACCTCCGTACCCCCCCTTCCCCCGGAAGTTTGTGAGTCTCCAGTTGAAAGATCTGGGAGTCACCTTGACCCTCCCTAAGAGGTGGAGAAAGTTAGCCTTGGGCCGGAGGAAAGACGAGTGAAACCAAAAACAGCACTTTCGCAAGTAAAATACGCCGTCACATTTTCCTGTTTTCAGGTTAGTTGGAGATCTAGGGAGTTTAAGGGTGGCAAGAGCAGGTGGCAGGACTCCGCCCACTACCACGCTTCCCCTCCCTCAGCTCGCACGCTTCATTCCCTTCATGAGGTCCCGCCTCTTAGGCGCGCGCGAAGAGATGTTTCGCGATGCATTCTGGGAATTGTAGTCCTGGTGCCGAGAGCCACCTCTGGAGAAGCGACTCTGGCCTACATAGCCCATGGTGCCGCGCGGTGCTGGCCGCTCCCGGATATGTGCCTGGCGCCGGAAGAGAAGGCGGCCCCCCTCTCTCGGCCCGGCCATCTTGTGGGAAGAGCTGAAGCAGGCGCTCTTGGCTCGGCGCGGCCCGCTGCAATCCGTGGAGGAACGCGCCGCCGAGCCACCATCATGCCTGGGCACTTACAGGAAGGCTTCGGCTGCGTGGTCACCAACCGTTTCGACCAGTTATTTGACGACGAATCGGATCCCTTCGAGGTGTTGAAGGCGGCAGAGAACAAGAAAAAAGAAGCCGGCGGGGGCGGCGTTGGGGGCCCTGGGGCCAAGAGCGCAGCTCAGGCCGCAGCCCAGACCAACTCCAACGCGGCAGGCAAACAGCTGCGTAAAGAGTCCCAAAAAGACCGCAAGAACCCACTGCCCCCCAGTGTTGGCGTGGTTGACAAGAAAGAGGAGACGCAGCCACCCGTGACGCTTAAAAAAGAAGGTAAAGCTTGGGTAGAAGGTGGGGAAGACCGGGGACGAAGGGAAGGAGTGAGGGGATTTGCGGCTGCCACTTGCTTCTGGAGCTCCGAGGAGCAGCGACAGATTTTCCCACCTATTTCCTCACGTTTCTCCCACACGACAAAAGCCAGGTCCTGTAAAGTCCAGGGAGCGTGGTAGTCCCAAGTTCAAGCTACTGTCTGCAAGGATCCCCGGAGCCACCCCCTTCCCGCCTCAGGTTCTGAGCAGAGGAGCGGAGCGTGGTCCGGAGATAAGCTGCTCCTCGATTGTGCTCAAGGTCCTGTGAGGCTGTTGCTTCCCGCCGGATTCCTTGGCGGGCGGGTTCGTGGACTGAGGTGCTGGGAAGCCAGCCACGTACTAAAGCTTTAGGAGTTGCGGAGAAGCTTGGCATCCAGAGCTTCTTCCTGCGCAGTTCTTTTTCAACGTGTTCTTTGAGGTGGTGTTTGTTTTAGCGTTCTGTCCTGCCATCTTGTCCCACAATGGCATGGAGTACCCAGTGAAAAGCTGGGAGTCGGAGTTTACACCTAAGCTGCTGCTGTGTTAGAGACGATCAGATACTGTGGAGTAGGCTGCTGTTTTGTGTGTCACACGTGCTTCTCCCCCCACCCCCGACTATGATAATCGTACAACTTGTTGGAGTTAAAGCTGTTAGGAGAGGAATTTGGCTACATTCGATGAAGCAGAAGCGGGAATTCTGAAGACTGGTTGTTGCAGGAAATCTTGAGAATCGCTCTTGTGTTCTCCCAACTCCCCGCACATACTATTTCATGTGGTGTGGCGTGGTCTGGGCCTCGTGGTGTGAAGTGAGTGTTGGGGCTGTCACAACATAAGCCGCTGCAGGAGCTCTTTTGAGTCTGCAGCCTTTTCTCCACGTGTGGAAGCATGGTCAGGATTTTACTGGCGGGTGATAGTTGCTTTCAGGTCATTGAATTTCACAGGATTGTATTGAGTTTAATTTTTGCATTCTCACTCATTACGGGTTTATCTGTTTCGGTGAACGAAAAAGAGCAAAATAATTGAGAATAAAAGAAAAAAGTAGGTGTAGGATCTTAGTTGTCTTTGTATGTTCAAAATTGAGATTACCCTTTACTGCCACGTGCCTTGAAAGGAGTTTCTCCTTAGCCTTAATTGAATTCTGTACCATTCGATTAATGCAAAAAGCAAAACAAAATTTCACTTGTGCTCACAATATTGGAATTTAGTTTAAGAAATTTTTTATTATATATTTATGCTGAATATTTTTGAGACTTTTTGGAAAAGGAGCCTTGGTGGCGAAGTAGTTAAGAGCTCAGTCTGCTAACCAAAAGGTCGGCAGTTCGAATTTACCACCTGCTCCTTGGAAACCCTGGGGCAGTTCTACTCTGTCCCGTAGGGTCGCTGTGAGTCGGAATTGACTCGAGGGCATACAATGACAACATGTAGAAAAACCTAGGTGATGAATAAAAGAATTGTGTTAAAATTAAAGACTGGGGAAGTGCAAATTGGAATATTAGAGAACATGTATATGTCGCTTAGATCAAATCTGTTCAGCCAACTAAGCTTTATGGCCACCTGTAGCACAATTGAATGAAACATTTAATTCCTGTCCTAGGAAACACACATTTGAGTAATTATTTAAACTGTGCTCAAGTTTGTCTCCTTGATTACACTCATCCAAAGAAAGCACATGAAAGAATTGAGTAGGAAACATAAATCTAAAATGTCACCAGGTAGGTGTGTTCACACATTTTGAATTTTTAAAGCATGTGAAGCATGGTTTAATGCCTCAGTTATTTTGATTATGAAAGCCCATCTTTGAAATAAAATAAGTTCTTACTGAGAAGCTAGTATTTTAAGTTATGAATATAGAGAATATTTTCATAAATTAATAACTAGGACTGAGTTCATCATTCTGTAGTTATTTTTTCCATGGGAGAATTATTCCATATTAACTCAACATTTTCCTGAGATCAACATTTCAGAGCACCCTTGAACTTGAGTTGCATAAAACATAAGCTTAAAGATAATAGAAAAAAGTTGAATGAAAACTAAAATTTATTTTGAGACCCTGCCACTTGTCGGGCAGTATCCTGACCGTTGGGGATAAATCTGTAAACAAAGTCCCTACTCTCTTGTAGTGGGAAGGATGATAGGTCTTGGTACAGTGCTAGACGTAACTCCGTTAAGTATTTAGTGTTTGCATTATATGAATTAAGTTTGTAGCTTGTCATTTGTCCATTTGAAGAACTTGAGAATTGACACAACAGAATGTTACTGAGGATGTAGACCAGTCAGGGTTTTATTAGAATAATAAAAGCCTGGAATCTAGTGAAAATCAGCCTAGAAGTATATAGCAAGAGAAGCTTGTGTTTTTAATTCAATTATTTGTCATTGGGTAAATTTATTTAGTAAGTTTTTTAGATTCTATAATTAAGCCTAATATTGAATGTTGGGTGGGGAAGCAAGCCATTGTTCATTTGGGTGTGTTTAGTTTGGATATCATCATAAGGACTGGTTCCATAGCCCCGCCCCACTGCATTGTACCTCTGCAGAAACTTACTTAAATGCCTTGGTGTTAGAACTAAGACATGTAGTCTATTCTGAGAGTTTACATGGAATGAACTTTAATTTTTTATTAAAGAGTTTGGTATTTAACTGCTTTGACTCTAGTTAAAATGAACTGAACAACTGGGTGTGTCCTGATGGCATTCCACTTTCTTAGAAAGAACAAGAGTGAATCAACTTAAGGTCTTGTTACAAAACCAGTCCCTCAGCTGCTTTTGAGCTTTGTTAGAAATTGTGGTTTGGGAATTACAGCGTATCTGAAGTCTTACAGCTGAATTGATGAATTTAACCCATTAATCTATTTATCCTTCAGGGCATCCGTAAAGCATATTGGTTGCCTTTGGTGGGCCTCAGACGCTAATTGGGATAAAAGCAATAAGGAGGGAAATCAGTAAATGCTTCAGCTATCATTTGGTGCCACAGATTTTCTATGTCTTAAATACTGCTTAAAAAGGAGCTTTTAAGTATTATTTTAAAAGGTTCTTTGAAAACAAAATATTTCTAAGGGCAAACTAAAATAAGTTCTCTCCACCCGTAATAAAAAATAACAAATTTCCTGGGGTTACACAACAGTATTAAAAACGTTTGGTGGTGTGTGTATACATATACCAAAACCAGCCAAACCTAACAGCCATCGAGTTGATTGCGACTCATAGTGACCCTATAGGATAGAGTAGAACTGCCCCATAGAGTTTCCAAGCCTGTAAACCTTTATGGAGACAGACTGCCACATCTTTCTCCCGAGGATTCAAACCCTGGACCTTTTGATTTACAGCTGAGTGCTTTAACCACTGTGCCACCAGGACTCCTTGTGTATATATACACACACATACATTATGTATACATTTATACATATAAACTATGTAACAAAGGAAGATGGTACTATTTCTGATAAAATAGCTATTTTAAGCTATGGGAATGTACTTTAGTAATGCCATTTGCTTTCCTTTCAGACTTATAGAATTTTAAGTATTACGTTTTTTATTTTTCCAGATAATGTAGAATAAAATATAGTATGTCCTTCTAGTTTTTGAGAGGCCATATCTGCTAAGTGTATTGATTTGATTATAAATGGCTATTAGTCTTACTTTTTTAGGTATTTTTGAAGCCAAAATGTATCATTTCCTTAAATTTTTTTTTAAACTTACATTTGTAAATTAAGAGATTGAAAAATGAGGAATAATGGCTCCCCAAATGACTTCAAGTCAGTTATAGAGAATACTTCAGAGGGAAGAAGTGACTTGGGCAACTAAATAAAAGTTTGAAGCAAGTTTATTGTCTTTAAATTACGAATTTCCCTGAAGTATTATACTTCAGTGCCGTTCATTGTTTGCTTTTTTTATCAACAGGAAGTGCTATTTAGTGAATGGAAAGTAATTATTATTTAATAGTTTAGGTCTAAACTTTTTCTGTTACAAAAGTAATTTGCTGTTACTGTTTTAGGAATTAGACGTGTTGGAAGAAGACCTGATCAGCAACTTCAGGGTGAAGGGAAAATAATTGATAGACGACCAGAAAGGCGACCACCTCGGGAAAGACGGTTTGAAAAACCACTTGAAGAAAAGGGTGAAGGAGGAGAATTTTCAGTTGATAGGTAAGATTATTTTTATTTAAATCTCTTCATGTTTTGTCAGTTTATAGTGTCACACCTTAACACAAAGCTGTAAATTGGACGTACTTGCCAGATAGCAGTATGGTTGATTACTTTTACCAGTTTCTTTAGAGAAATATCTGACTATATGGCATTTGTTACACCCCAGACCTTCTAGTAATTGTTTTTAATGTTCAGACTTAGATTTCTATACTTCAGTTGAGTTGATAACTTGATATCCTGGTAGCACAATGGTTAGGTGCTAGGCTGCTAACTGAAAGGTCCATGCTTTGAACCCACCAGTGGCTCTGGGAGAAAAGACCTGGTGATCTGCTCTGTAAAGATTTCAGCCTAGGAAACCATATGAGTCGGAATCAACCCAACAGCACAGAACACCACAATATCTTTTCCTTGCTATCCTCATGTGTTGAGTTAAAAGCAAAATCCTTTTAGCTAATTGTTTATAGCAAAATCTTATGCAGGTTAGATGTGTTTAATTTTTAAGTGTATTGGTTAGTAGCAGTTTTGCTTGGATTGTAATCTGCCATAATAAAAAAGGCTATGTGCACTAGTAGCAAAGTTTTAGAAAATGCCAAGATAATTTCCTTAGTTGTTTTTTGGGGGCTACCTAATTGTTTTGTTTTATGTGTTTTAAGAATAGAGTGTTTTAAATTTCCTAGAACGTGTTTAACTGTTGGATTATGAGCCAGTAAACCTGTTTCTGTATTTTTGCACTCTTAAATGGATTCTCTTATTCCTTTTTCTGGAAACTTTGAAAGCGTATTTTTTGTGTTGTAGACCAATTATTGACCGGCCTATCCGGGGTCGTGGTGGTCTTGGAAGAGGTCGAGGAGGCCGTGGACGTGGAATGGGCCGAGGAGATGGATTTGATTCTCGTGGCAAACGTGAATTTGATAGGCATAGTGGAAGTGATAGATCGTAAGTCTTATATTGGTGTTTATTTTATTTTTGTATTTTAAGCTATTTCTTTAACAAAATAAAATTTGAATTTCTGTAACTAGAGAGTATTATGTTAACTCAGTTTTTTTAGTTCTTTTTCACATTATAGTGGCCTGAAGCACGAAGACAAACGTGGAGGTAGCGGATCTCACAACTGGGGGACTGTCAAAGATGAATTAACGTTGGTATTCTGATTTTTTAAATAAATAATTGTAATATAATTGATTCTGTGCTTTACTAGAGGTAAACTAGAGGTTCACTCATACTTCTATTAAGTTTTACTTGTCCTGGGCGAGGGTGGGTGCTTGTAACTCAGAGCTACTCCTTTACAAGATAATATCTTACTGGATATATTTGGGTTATAATTTATTAAATGACCAGCATTTTTGTGTGTGTGTGTGTGTGTGTATACATATATATACACACCCTTATGTATGTATTTTCCTATGGGTATATAGTTTTTCCTGAAATCTTACATTGAAGTTGTTTGGGTCTTCTAATTATCTTTGTCTCTTTTATAGTTCCTTTTTTAGCTATTATCCTATTGGTCACTACAAAATTTTATAAGCCACTAAAGCTTTGTTTTAGAACTAACCATCCTGTCACCTTTTGAATAAAATACTTAAACCAACTTAACTAGTGTAATTTTTATACTGTTTTCTCAGCAGTCTGCTGGACAGTAAACTTAATAGAAAAAGACACTTGGGGGAACTTGAGATTTAAAAATTTTTGTATTAAAAAGCCTTTCAGCTACATGTAAATGGACCTGGATGCCTTTCTTTTTCTTTCTTTCCTTAGAGAGGGCCCCAGATACATTCAGAAACAAATGTCTTATAATTGCAGTGACTTGGATCAATCGAATGTGACTGAGGAAACACCTGAAGGTGAAGAACATCCAGTGGCAGACACTGAGAACAAGTAAGTGATTTTATATGTAGTAATGCTTAATGTTCCAACGTTGGAACCAGATTAAGTTTTTACTGATGAAATAATAACATAAACCATAGATTTTAATGCGTTATTTGACTGTTCTTTGACAGGAGAGAGTTTTATACTGTTTTACGTACCCCTATCCCTCAAATATCTCTTTCTTTTTAGATGAGTGCTTTGCACGTGTGTGTCTTCATTGGTTTGAAAAATGGAAGGTTTTTAATGTAGTTAATTCTGTTTTGATTAATCATTTTTCCATTGTCATACATGTGCTTAAACAGTTGTATCCTTTTTTTAAAAAAAAAGTTATGGTTAAAAGGAGTTGGTAGTTTAGTAAAGCCTCTTAGCCCTAAGCATAACAAGTACCTTCCTACTGTAATCTGAGAATAAAAAAAACTGTTGCCATCGAGTTGATTCCAACTTATAGCAACCCTATAGGACAGAGGACAACTGCCCCATAGGGTTTCCAAGGAGTGCCTGGTGGATTTGAACTACCAGCCTTTTGGTTAGCAGCCATAGCTCTTAACCACTGCACCACCAGCATTTCCAAAATCTGAGAATGGAGGATAGGAATGAGATGCCATGTGTTAGACCTAACTGCCTTACTTTGTGGAGAAGTTGTAATGGATAATTCTGGTGATGGATGTTCTGTGACGTTGAGTAGGTGGGAACTGGAAGCTGTGGTCGGGGATTTCTAAAAATTAGGCTAACTGAAAATAAAGGAACTTACAGTATTTAGAATTCATAGCTTGATGTACTGTTGACTCTTTACAAGTGTACATATTCTGGGACAGAAACTAGAAAACATGGCTATTTTAGAATTAGTTCTCCATCTCGTAAGTTTTTTCCATCAACGTAGAATTTGAGACATAGCGTTACTGGCATGTTTAAAATGTACGATAAAAGCAAAGATTGGAATATATTAGATTACTAGCATTCTTAATCATTTTCATTTTCTGAGTTTAGATAAACTCAGTTTTTAAGTTTTCATTTCTTTCAGGGGTGAGAGCTGTTTTAAAGATCCAGGTTATGGTAGTCGACATAATTCGACGTCTCCTTCTGGTTTCCATCAATCTGATTAGAAGTTATATACCAGTCATTAATAAGGGTATTGTGGTTTAAAGTTTTGTATTACAGATTATTTAGGGCCGTGATTTGCAACCAGAGCATGTATAAATCAATCAGGGAGAGGATACTTTTTCTAAACTTTTCTTTGACCAGGGAGAATTGCTCTTACAGTGAACCACTATTAATAGTGGGGGTGTTGTAGTCCATGAGTTTGTTGGGATGTAGAGAAAAGGTTGATTTAATATTGGTGGGAATAGATAAAAGTACATGGCATTAGGTAAGGTGTTAAATTTAAGATTGTAATATAAATTAAAAGAAGCTGTGGAATCATAATTTTGTGTGATTAATGATGAAATTGTAATGGGTGAGTTAAATTAACCCTGTGTAATATTAAATACTCCAAGATGCTCAACACAACTAACTGTTCTTTACTAAAGAAACTCTTTGAGTCACCTTCAGAGTGATCTGCAAAGCTTGCAGCTGTTTACCAGAAGGAAGTGCTGTGTTGATAGGGTATTGGAAAAAAAATCCCTGGCTGACAACACAGGGGTGAAATTAGGAATACTTGGTCTAAAGAAGATGATGATGATCACATTAGAGAATAGATAATATGCCTTTAGGTTGGTAGAGGAGCATTGTTATTGTTCTGTTTGTTTTCTTGTGTGGTTTT